CAGTACATCGGTATGCTTTTCTCCTGTTGATCTGTCTTATGTCAATTTAATTCTCAGGCCCAGCCAGAAAGAACCCTAACGGGGTGAAGTAAAAGTTTGCCTCCCCAACAGAATTAAAGTCTGCATTTCAACTAGATCCTTGTCCAGTCAAGTTTGAGAAACCCGCTTTTATGGCTCTTAAAAGTCTGCAAGTTTGAATTGACTGCTTTGACAGCATTTCACTGGCGAGACCGGTCTCTTCTCTGTGCTTTGACCGCTAACCAAGTCTTTGCTGATCTCTGTCTGTTTTCTCCAGGGCTTAAAGGCACTTGACTGGCTCTTTGCCTCAAGAAGAGGTCATTAAGATGAGTGATTTATGGCCTCTGTCATCTGTGCCACAAGTCAGTGCTGAGGAGTTGAGGTTTCTTAGAGCACATCCACCTCGAGCACATTTTTCTTACATTCATAATCGTCTGTTTTTAACCTCCAGGTATGGAAAACTCCATCTGCCTTCAGCTGACCTTTTCACTCACGTCATCATTTTGGCCAGGTTTAGAAGGGTCACCCTACCTGTCACCAAGCTTTTCCTTAAACTCATCTCTCTCGAGATGTCTGCCTTAATAGAGGAGAAAGAAAAGGAAGGCTTTGCTTTTTTCCTATGTTGTTCAATTCTCTAAATACTAGAATGAAATGCTTTTCACCTATAGGTTTTATACAATAATGAAATGAAGGATCTGCCAAGTTTAATTGAAGGTATTCTAATTAAAAAAAGAAATACATATTTTTACCTCTACAGGGTGGTTTTGATGTGGGAAGATAAACTAAAGAGACCCAAATCTTTCTCTCCTTCTTATCTTCTTTCTCCTTCTCTAAAAAAGCATGAAAACGTTTATTTACATAAATGAAGAAAGAGCTTGGTAATTCTACTATCAGTGTTATCAGTATTAGAATATACTTGCAAAAAGCAGAAACATTCCAATCTGTTATATTTGGCAGCGTTTTTTTACTAATTGCTCATCTACAACTACTAGTTGAACAAATAGGGGCAAGAGATTAAAATTTCTCAAAGGAGATTTTCTGGCCAGCTTTTGGTGGCTGACTCAAAACACTGACACATCAGGAAACACCCTTTTCTGAGCAACCTACGTGACTGCTACAGCATCAAACAGAAGAGACAAAAACTTCTTAGTCATGGAAATAAATCAAAATACAAATGATGGATTATTTTATTCTTACATGAAGTCTAACAACCTTCAGCGCTTGCACATACCAGGTATTGGGGTACAACTAGCTATACAGTGTTAAATATTGGGGTGAAACTACACTTAATAATAACTTCGATTTTTCACTGCTGGAGTCAAATTCACTATTCTGATTTTTTCCCCAACATTGTATTATAAAAATTTTCAAACATACAGAAAAGTTGAAGGAATTGTACAGTGACTACCCCCATGCTCACTGTCTAGATCCTACAGTTAGCATCTTGCTCTCTCTGCCCTGTCCCTCCCTCGACCCGCCCGCCTCTGCCAGGCACCTGGCGCTCTGGTTTCTGCCTGCCTTTGGTCACACTCCAGTGCCTCCAAGTCATAGTTTTATATTTTCCTGAAAAGTGACCATTATGTATAGCAGGTCTGGGCTTCTGGGAACCACTTCCCCATTACTGGAAGCATGGTCCTTCCTTGAGGTTTTTGGGGTTTTTTTTCCTTCACTCTACTGGAGACTGTTCTGAGAAATTCAAGTTTTCTTGTGACTATGAAGAAACAGGACCTTGAATTCAGAATCATTTGCAAAATAAATTTTATATGAGTGGGCATACGTGGAGAGGTCTCAACCCAGTGGAGGTCTAAACATGGTCCATTTAATTTTTCCTAATCTGAGTTTTCAACCATGCTCTTCATCCCCAAATTCCATCCTGGATACATTTCCTAGGCTCTTCAGTTAGTGAAACCATCCCGTTTAAAATGTCAATGTCAATCTTGATTTAAATCGGATCTCCTCCCTGCCCTCCCAGGGCAGCTCTCCTCCTGGTCAGTGTGCAAACAGTGGGGGGCTCGGCCTGCCCTTCCTCTCCACCTCCCATGCCAACACAGAGAGGAGGGCCTGGCTGCAGTTCACCACTGGGACGCCTCCCCTCCCTCCCTCTTCTAGGCTCTGGATCCTCCAGTGCTGGGAACAGAGAAAAAGATCAGGGAAAAGCGTCCGTGTTTCCTCTCTCACAGGCCACTCTTCCAGGATTTCACTCGGGATGGTTCACCCTCTGTGGAGAAGGCGTCCAAGTGTCCAAATGCTGTGCCTCTCTCCATGCCTGTGCTGTGCCGTCCACCTCCCCACCCCCCAGCATCCCTCTAGGGAGGCAGGAAGAAGGCTCATGACAACCACTTCCCTTCTTTGACATTTACTTGGCTTGTTTGAGAAATGAGGTCTCCTTATCATGCCAAATGGAGGAAGTGTTGGGTACTTTTCTGTTACTCTTCTCTAAGCCCTGCTGTCTACCACAATTCCCTTCCTCTCAGCTGGGCACAGGGCCTGGTCAGCCAGACCATCATCCAGGCAGAAGTCAGAGCCCAGATAGGATGCCAGGTTCTCCATCTTGTAGTCACCATTACTGTTACCAGTGATTCTCTTGATGCTCCCATTCTACTCACTGGGAAAGTCCAGTCCATTGATTTCCCAAATGAGTGAGGATCAGTGGAAAGAAAGCACCCCATCCCTCCCCAGCAGGGTGGGGGGCAATCAGGGCTTACTCAAATGGGGCCTGCAGAAGGCAGCTGACACCTCCTTCCTCCTCGGACTCCCGACCAACAGGTGGCGGTGGGAGAGGGGACACTAGGCTGCAATGCAGGGTAGGGATGACAGGATCAGTTCTGCAATATTTTTGGGAGTCTTGAGGTGTCTGGGCCCAATTGTTGGTGGCTCTTTTTAGAATGTCGTGATTTTTATGCTTCTTTATTCTCAGTTCAGGGCCCTCCTCACCAATTCCTGGGCATGTAGAAACCTTCCATGCAACATGCTTTTCCCTGAAAAGATGGCAAATGAATGTGTTCAAGGTGTCTTGACTAACAACCCTGAAAATGAAACCCAACGAGTGCCTGGCATTTGCAGGAATCTTTGTTGACAGGGATAATTCAAGACAAATTAATCCTTTCTTAGAAGCACTCATGATGCGTTTATCATTATTAAAAAATACTGAGAACTTGAGGTGAGTTGGGCACCCCTCAACACCCAAGGTGAGAATGTTGAATCTAGATCATTAATTGTTGCTCATACCTTCCTTTTAGTCATCATGTAACTTTTATCTCACAAGCAATCACATTTCTTCATTTACCAGTTCCCATTGGGCTTGGCGCTGCCACCTTGTGGCTGTAAGGTATTACTGCACTTTTAAGGACCCAGAAAGGAACACAAGACCATCTTCACTGGAGTCATAGATACTCAGAACAGAAAGGGACCCGTGACATCTTCCAGCTCAGACTCACCTAAGATGTGTATCAGGTGAAGCCAGAGTCACCAGCTGAGTGAGGACCTACAGCCTAACTGAGAATGGATGCTTTATGGGAAGCTGGCGTCTTGCTCCATTATTTCAAATGTATGAGGATGTTGAAAATATGGTTGTGTTTAATATATTAAAATACCAGTTTCTTTCAACTGAAAGCAAACTAGAAAGTGGAAACCTTCACTAGCATCCCCCGGCCCCTCTCCAGATCTCTGGAGCTCAACACTGTCTGTCTTGCTTGATAGTATCATCCTCAGCATTATTCTAGCATTAGGGGTGCTCGACCTGCATCTTCCCCCCCCCACAAACATTCAAAGTGGTTTCGCTTACCTGACCTCTAAATTATGAATTAGTGATTCTAACTTAATCAAGTTTTTCAATGGACTACCATGGAACAAAAATATCTGCTTTGAAAATAAGCCAATGCTGTAAATTTAATAATTATTCTGTTTCTCTTTATGCACAGGAAATACGGAGAGACCTTCAAACTGCATTCATTACTCTTTTCAGTAATAAGCTATTAATTTGGATTAAGGTAATAAACTATTCAAATTAAATTGTTCAGCAGCATCTCATAGGGCTATAAATGTACAGTGAGACAAGAAAGTTTACCTTCTATTTCATCTGCTAAAGAACTGCTTACCGTTTTAAACAAGGTAGTGTGATAACAAGGCCACATGTTAAGATAATCAGGTTAATGCATCTCAGATTTTGTTTTAAACTTGATCATTGCAACCTGAAGTATTGATGTGGTAGAATCCCAACTTGTCCTTTTTTTTGGAATTCTGATGCAAAGACTCCTACCCAGAGGGAGTCTCTTTCCCATCTCTCCTCCCTCCTACTTTAATCTCAAACTCAAAAAGACAGATTCGTCTAAGTTTAAAAGAGATTTTGGTAGAAAAAGTCTATAAACCCCAGAGCCCTGAGACATGGTTGGGATAAAGACTGTTCGTGCTTTGGAAAGTAAAAGGTGCTTTTTTTTCTTTCTTTCTTTTTTCCTCCTTAATGAAGTTATTCTTTCCTGGAATCCTTTTCTAGTTCTTTTGTTTCAAAGGATAGGGGTTGTAGGAAATAGTCGTTAAAATATCCTGCTACAGAGAGAGATCATTGGACATTCGATTTGGAACTAAAACAAATAAAGAAACAAAACCTCCACATTCCCTTAAAGGCTGGTTTCAGGTCCCTCTGCTGAGCTCTAATCCGCTGGGGTCCATCCCCAGCCTGTGCGCACTTGTAGCTATGGTGGTTTATCTTCCTCCACTCCCTTCCTAGGAACTCTGCTTGTCACTAATGCGGTTAAGCTTAAAGCTTAGCCCGCCCCTCTCTGACGAACACAAGAACCCCACTCAGAAAAATTCAAGAACGGCCAAGGAGAGGGGAGGAGAGAGCTGAGACGAGGCCGTCTGGGACAAAGTGACCCACGAGTCACTGGCAAAGGCCCTGCTGGGAAGGACAGGGCCTGGCTCTGGGTGAGACCACCAGCCCAGGAGGACTTGCCATCACCTGCAGGCTCTCTGTGCATCTTGGGCATCCCCGTGCGGGCATGAGCTCCAGCGGCCACACCTCGCTGCCGCTCCTTCTAGGGCTGCTGCTGTTGGTGCTGCAGGTGAGCCGGGACTGGTGCCCAGAACTTGGCGCTTGGGATCTGCACACCCAGTGCTCAGAACTGAAAGCACAGCTCAAGTTGACTTTGCTCCTTTTGGGATCAAGGGAGGGAGGAGAGGAATTGAGTGTAATTTGGGTGAGGCTGGTGAGGAGGATAGATGTGCAGCTGGGAGTGAGGCTGCTGGGTATCTTTAGGATGGTGTAGGCAGCAGGGGCTCCAGAATTTACACAAAGGAGGGGTTTAGGGTCACAATCTGTTTGGGGGACTGATGGGGGTAGGATAAGGGAACTTGTCTTAAAACTGGTTTATATAGCACACACCATTCTTATTTAGGTTTATATCAACACACACACGTTTCCTAATGATACTTCTATTCACACTTTACATAAGATGAAGATCATCTCAACTGCATATGTCAAAGACAATTTGAGCAAACCGATGGGGATGTGGGTGCTAAATGCCTCTGTCCCCCACCAGTTGCCACTGCTCAAATGGGAATACCAACAGTGGAATCAAGATTAGAAAAATACAGGCTTGTTCCTTTTGCACTTAACAGTGGATGGAGTTAATGTTGCATATGCTTGTTGCTTATAACCCACTTAATCTGCTTTCTATAGACAGGGCGGGGAGAATCATGAGGCTATTATATTGCTGTCGCATTCACTCTTGTAAACCCGGCTGAGGGCAGCAGGCAGTGCAGTGGTTGGGAGTACAGGTTGTGGATCTGGATTGGGTTGTTTAAGGTCTTGCCCCAGGCTCGTCCACTTCTGGCTGGGGATCTGGGCTCATTACCCGACCTTGGTCCTCACTTGGGCTCAAGTTGGACTCTTCTAGGGAGCTGCAGAAATCCCCATGCCTGGATGCCACCCCCCGAGGTTCTGATTGAGCTAATCTGGGCATGTGGCCCAGGCATTGGAGTTTTAACTTAAGCCTCATTTTCTTCACCTGAAAGTGGATCTAATATTTGTACTTACCTGACCTGGGGGTTCTGAGAGTGAAAGAGGAAATGCACAGAAGTGCCTGCACAGTAAGGGCTCAGCCAATGTGTCCTGTGTCTGCGTCCTGCTGTTTTTCTGGCCTGTGACATGGTCGGCTACGTTCATTCAGTGCCCACGCTGCAACTATTTATCGGACGCTTGCTCTGGGCCAGGCACTTTCATAGCTGCTGGGGATGTAACAGCAAACAAAATAGGAAAAATCCCCGTCCACAGCACACGCACTCTAGTAGCACTCGGCCTCTGAAAGTGGATGCCTTGCTTCACACGTTGCTTGGTGTTTGAGAATTTTCTTGGTCACTTTTTGCCGTATTGAGTTGTTAATGTTCTTAACCAGACAGCACATTCATTTTATCTCCAATACTCTGTAGAATCCTGTTTTAATAGTCCATGTTAGCTTGGATTTGAATATTTTGCAAATCACACCCTGTCCTCATCTTTCTCTTGCCCCTGCCCTTCCCCCTAACTGGTCTCATGAGACAACAGAAGTGTATTCTCCTCTCCATTGTATTAGCACAGAGCCCAAGCAAGTTAGTTCAAGTCTGAGGGTGTGTTGGGTGGGGATGGGCTGTGGGGATTGGACTTTGGGTAGTAATTCAGTGTTTGGTGAAAGCAGCTTTATGTAGATTCCAGGGGATCAAGACGGATGAAGAGAATGTGATGCAATAGGAATCACTTTCCACTTCTCTCCTTTTCCCCCAAGTTGGCTTATAAACACCTCCGACACCCATAACAGGTGCCCACTCCCTCCTCCTCTGATCTGCAGATTTAAAACTGGTGCCCATTCTGCTGGAGAGCCATTGTGTCTGCTACAGTTTTCTTCTGAAATCCCTACATACTTGCTTTGTCATTCTGACGTGAAGCAAACAACAAAGTTGTGATTCCTCTGCAGGTTTACAGCTTTGTTCCAGATTCAACGACAAGCCATGGAAGGGGACTCCTGCTCCCCTCTTTGGTCACTTCTAGTCCTGAGAGCCTGTGCATCCTCAGCTTTGGGCTGTGGTGGCTTCCAAGACCAGAGAGGAGGGAGAGTTGAAGAGAATAAAATTGGACAGTGAGCAAAATCTGTTATGTTTTGCTGTTTTTTAATCTGGGAAATTCTGAATTATCTTTAAAAAGATTGTTAGCGTTTCTGCTCTGCTGATTAATTCACTCAACCTCCTCGTTCAAGGACAGCAGAGCAGGTGGATGGCAGAAGGTGAGGGACAGTGTGGTCCTAGGGGAAGCTGAGTACTCAGCAGGGGGCAGAGCAGACTGGACTCTGTCCTAAGAGCCCTGGGAACCCAGTTTTATGCTGCGACATGATGAGATCTGCACTGTTAAGAGATCACCCAAGCTTCTGTGTAGAGAATGTATTTGGCAAGTGTCTTCATCTCCCAGGGCTGCCGTAACAAAGCACCACAAACTGGGAGCTTAAAACAAGAGAAAGGTATAACATGATGGCTATAGTTAATAATGCTGTATTGAATATTTGAAAATAACTAACAGAGTAAATCTTAAAAGTTTTCATCACAAGAAAAAAAATAAGGGCTGGCCCCGTGGCTTAGTGGTTAAGTGCGCGGGCTCTGCTGTTGGTGGCCCGGGTTCGGATCCTGGGCGCACACCGACGCACGGTTTCTCTGGCCATGCTGAGGACGCGTCCCACATACAGCAACTAGAAGGATGTGCAACTATGATGTACAACTATCTACTGGGGCTTTGGGGGAAAATAAATAAATTAAAAAAAAAAAAAGAAAGAAAAAAAATAACTATATGGTGACAGATGTTAACTCGACTTACTGTGGTGATGATTTTGCAATATATACAAATATCAGATTATTATGTTGTACACCTGAAACTAATATAACAGTGTATGTCAATTATACCTCAATTAAAAAAATTCTCCTTGAATGCAAGTTTGCAATCAAAAATGAAATATTTTCAGGAAAGAATTATTTCCATACAGGCTTCTTAGTTCTTTAGTACCCTCTATAGACACAAAGCCTTCATTTACTCAGATAATTTTCCCCTAAAGATGCCATGACTACTCAACCAGGCCAGCCTGAACAACACTGGTTACATGCCCCGTAGTCCAGCACTGTCTGTCAAATGATGTGCAGGGTGGACCTCACAATAAAATGCTCACCTGCCAGGATCCGATAAAATAGTGAGGTGGACACTGCAGCCAGAGACACTAGCCTCTAGAAAATTTTCTCCCCCCTCACATTATCGAAGCATTATATAAATCTTTTGAATGGTATCCTCTTTGCACCAACTGCCTAAAGTTGGTGGGGATGAGAAATATAATAAGCGTACTTACAAATCATTTCAGCAAATAGAACAGTTTCTAGTCTTCCTGCGTTGCCCAGACAAGATATCTCGAGTTAATTTCTAAGGCGTGCATAAAGAGAGGATAAATCACTCACAGGCACACACACAATGGTGTGGAATTTCAGGCATCTCTCTGCAAAGTGTAAACGTTCACCATTTCAAACCTCTTTTTCAGCAATTTAGCCGGCTCTTACATGACTGTCAGCTGCACCATTTATGTGCTTTCAGAGTCAAATGAACTTACAGAGCTTTTGTGTTAAAAAGGCCCTTCAAGACACCTTGTCTCATACCCTTACTTACAGAAGGGGAAACTGAGACCAGGGAGGAGATGAAACCTCCATGTATTCCTTATTAATGGTCTAGGCCACTGGAAATACACCTGCTTTAGAAACAGAATGAATTCTTCATTCTTTTGCAAGAACTGCAATTTTCTCCATTTTAAAATTATATACCTGGTTAGGCCTCTGATTTAAAATTACCAACATTAATCAAGAAGCATTCGTTGTATGAATAAATCAATGTTTGGAACTCAAAGAGTTTAAAACTTCTTTTCCTTTAGGTAAATAGGTAGAAATGTCGTCTGTGGCAGGAAAAATATATTGTCATTATTTTTGATGTTAACAAAACAACACAACCCAGTAATATTCCCCACCCACCGTGAGGGTGGCTGACCACAAGAAAGGAACATACGGAGAACGTTTCTTCATTTTCTATGAAACCACTATCTGATACACAGTCCGTTGTGCAGTGACATGCTCTGGAATGAGGCTAGAGCCTTACGGGTTCAAGGTGACCACAGCAGAGGAGGGCGATCTGGCTGACGACCACTCGCCTTGTCTCCGGAGATTCTGGGTATAAATCCTAGAGAGCGGTTGTCAGATTGTGTGCTCCCGGGATGCCTTACGCTTGTCAACCTCATGGCGAACCCAAAAACCTTCTGCTTAGGTGGGTTGTATTTACTGACACTTACATATTAGAAATTAAGACTGGGAAATTTTAAACATATTTCTCAATTCGTTAACCATAACAATAATAAACCCATTATGTCGTAATATAAACCACATATTTTTATGAAAAATAACCATATTTTTAAAAATCCCATTTAGTTTGAAGACAGACATTGTTTTATATTTTTGCAAATCTCTTGAACGTCTGGCTTCAAAGAAGATATCTGGATTCTCTTCTCTGATTCTACATTCAGTATGTTGTAAATGTTGTTTGGTTAAAGTACATGAGAAAATTCTGGCCTCACACGGATATGTATATGGAGAGGGAGGAATATTTTCATAGCCTTGAACAGATCGTTGTGGATATGCTTCTTTGATATTACACTAAAACTCAGCAAGTGGTAGTTTCTTCACAGGTACTTGCAATGTGGGATCTGAAAGCATATTAGTGAACTACCCTTACTCTGTTACAATAAAACCCCTGGTCTCTCTTGCATCTTGGATGACTCTCACCTGTGCGTGATTTTGGAATGTGATATGTTAATCATTAGGAAACTCTTGGGTCATTGAGTTATGCAGATCATCTAAATGTTGACCTATTTCATTCTACGAAATCAAAAAATAACAGTCATTAATATCTCCACTGATATCATCAGGAAAATCTTTAAGTATTGGGAAGCTGTCAAACTTGTAGTAGCAGACACAAGTTTTCCAAAATTTTAATTTCTGCTTGAAAGCTTAAATTTTATCATTGGCAACAGGCTAAGGTCCATTGTTTTTCTTGAAGTGACAGGTTTCCTTTGTTCATTATCAAAGAACTGTCTTTCAAATACCCAATCCTGAACAGCCATAGTATGTCATTCTTTCAAGTAAAACGTGTTCCATAGAAATGTGGTCTGTTCAGCTGGCAACTCTTATAATCACTCGAGTGCTTTTCTTTGAGACACACCTTCTCCTCTGAAGTGGTGTTTCACACACACTTCTCATCTAGTCACACAGAGCATTTAAATGATGTACACTCAGAGTGTTGCAAGGTAATAAAATTAATAATTTTTACTGCCTCGTCAGTTCTCAAATGATTTCAGTAATTCAGTGAATTCACCAATTACTTCATTCTTCAATGAAACAGGCTTACTTTTTTCTTTTCTTTCCCTGCACACGCCTGGTGATGAAGAACACAATGACTACTAGTGGAGCGTGGGGCCACTGCCTTCGTGGTGCTGAGGCACCAGCAGTTTTACCACCAGTATTTTGAACCATCAGTGCAAATGTCACACAGTAAAATAGGCGAATCATGTCTTAGTATTCTTAAGAAAGTGTGTGCCCTTGTAGACTCTCTGATAGGGGCAGGGACCCTGGTGAGCCACACTTTGAAAACTGCTGCTCCAGAGAAATTTTCTGTATACATAATGAGTGTTTATTACCACAGCATATTTTTTTGTAATAACAAACAACTGGAAATAATCTAAATGACCATCATCAGGAGAATGGACAAATAAATTGTCCTCTATTCATATAATGAAACACTATATGGCAGCAAAAATGAATGAACTAAAATTATAGGTGTCAACACACACACAGACACATACACACACATACTTGTGTTTAGTGCTAGTTTTGACGTACATTGCAGGGCTTGTCTCTTTCTATTTCAACAATCTTACTGTACATGTGTGTTTTTTTGAAGGGAAGGAAGGTTGTTGACATATATATAAATTATGTATAAATTATAAATAATAAATTATATATATTTATATATAAATAATAATTTATATATA